TCATGCAAGAGTTTTTGTCCCTCCAGGGGTATATACACTGGGAGAGACCGTATTTGCAGGACCCTGCAAAGGGACACATTCTATAATACTTGAAATTGCAGGAACTTTAAAGGCAGTGCCTGATGTTTCTGAATATTCAAACTTTGCTTGGATTTCGTTCGAGTCTATTAATGGCGTTATCATTACTGGTGGAGGCACTCTAGATGCTCAGGGACAATCTGTTTGGCAGTTTAACGACTGTAAAACGAATCCTAATTGTGTCCACCTACCTGCCGTAATTTCCTCATTCATCTCAATCATTTAACTAATTTTTCGACATTATGGATCACTAATACTTTGCTATTCTTTTTTTTTTTGTAGACCTTGCATTTCAATAATATTCGTAATGGAAAAATAATGAGGTTGAAGTTGATAAATAGCATGGGATTTCATTTACATATTACTAGTAGCTATTTGGTAAGGTTCCATGGACTTACAATCGATGCCCCTGAAGATAGCCCAAATACTGATGGAATACATATAAGCAAGTCCAACACCATAAAACTTTCCCGGAGTGTCATTAGGACTGGCGATGATTGTGTTTCATTCGGACAAGGTACAAACAATGTCACCGTTAACAAAGTCACTTGTGGCCCTGGCCATGGCATTAGGTACATAATCTTCTACTCCCTCCGTCACTAGAGCAATTTAATTTCACTCGTTATAATCTCACAACGTTATGTTGTTTGTGGTAAATGAAAACACAGTGTCGGTAGTCTTGGTAAGTTGGCTGGCGAATTGGAAGTTAGAGGACTTATTGTGAAGAATTGCACGTTGAGAGGAACGACAAATGGTATCCGAATCAAAACTTATGCAGGGGAAAATGCAAACAGAGCATTAGGGATGATGTTCAGCGACATTGTTATGGAAAACGTTAAAAATCCAATCATCATAGACCAGAGCTATGGTGACAAATCAACCGATGTAAGTTCAATTAATTTCATATACAATTAAGATTATGAGCAACATTTGATCGATCACGAGTAAAATCTGATTTATAATGTGTTGAATTTTGCAGTCGTTATCACAAGTGAAAATAAGTGATGTGGTTTACCAGAACATAAGGGGAACAACAAGCAGTGAGATACCGGTTCAACTGTTGTGCAGTTCAAAACTCCCTTGTGAAAATGTTCGACTCACAAACATAAATTTGAAGCATATAGAGAATACGCCAATTACTTCTCAATGTCAAAATGTAAATGTTGGCTATACTGGCGTTCAAATTCCGTCACCTTGTCAGGGACCTTCGTCATAGTACCCTGTGATCAATTTGGAGTGAAAATGCAAATGTTGGCTATACAGTGGAGAGAAATGCAGAAAGCCAATCTGATCAACGTCGATGTTCAAGAGTAACAAGAACTGATCGAAAATATGGTGTCGTAGACAAAAAGATAATACCTCCCACCCACCATCAACACGTACAATTAGTGGTATGGATACAAGTCTTAGGACAAAATAGGTATGGATGTAATTCTCATTGTTCTAATTCCCTCTTCCGCTTGTAATAGATTTAAACGAAAAAAAAAAAGTTTGCCCTCACATCTTTTATATATTCACCTTTCACTATGCACAACTCCACCCCAAATTCCCAAAAAATATACAAAAAAAATTACTAGATTTGTAGTATTTGGTTATAGTAGTTAAAAGAAGCCATCCCTTGGGGATATGTATAAAAGGAAGATTTAAATTAGTTTCGTACTTTCGCTGTTTTATTTATCTCTTTGTAATAGTTCGATCCTTGATTCAAAACTGTATATATTATAACTTATGCGGGATTTTAACCCCAAATTCACTAAAACCAACGACCTAACAAGATTATAAAAGCAACCCTAAGATCTAAGTATTGTTATCTTTCCAAATTACCCCTAACTTGGAACAAATATTAACTCTAAAATACTTCTAAGAAAGTTGAACTCAATAATTAGGGATGATGTATGGGTATTAAAAACTTTGTAAGTAATAAAATCTTATTATTAACTATAAAAAAGTTAACATTTTTTATGACAGACAAATACGTGCTAATATAATTTTTTGGACAATAGAACACTAACATTTTTGGGTATATGATTAATGATCCATGTTTAGGGATGATTGATTGACGATTCTTTTTATCACACAAAATTCTTGTGTGACAGAATATGACTGATAAGAGATTAGTAAACAACTTTGATTTTTGACAAGAAGGAAACGCTACTAGCTGGAAAGTATTCCATATAATAAAGTCCATGAAGCCAGAGTGCTGTCGCACTAAACGATTACCGTTCCTTAGATACTCCAAGCCACAATCTGTATTGTCCTTGAACCTAGACCATGGAAGGTTGGTTATAGTTCCATTCTATTAGTGGGATCCATAGCCCGCGGCTCTCTCCCAAGCCAGAAAGAAGAAGGTAGTCTAGGACTACCTTAAGCCTAGAAGAGAAGTACGGAGGACTTTCAGTTACAATTTCTAGGTTGGGCAAGCCGCCAATTAGCCATTGGTGAAATTTTTGGTGGAATATAGTCTCACTATTGTGACTAAAATGGTGCTTTGGAAGAAACATGAAATTGGTTTCTATAAGTGTAACAAAAATGGGGTTTTATAATGAAATTCTAGACCTTGTGCAAGGGGCTTTTGTGTGAGAAATTTCATATATTTAGAGAAGGGAATCAACTCGAGGATTTTATTACTAACATAGGTGTTCATTTTGAAGGTTCGGATAATTTCGAGAGATCTCCTCACATAGAAGGAAGAATATTTATACACAGAAAAAGCAAATTCTAAGTCTTAAGAGTACAAAAGTGTCAAAATAGATGATATCAATGTAACACTACAAACACGCAAGCAAGTAACGAAGAAATGTCATCAGCAATAGTATTACTATCAAGAAATACTATATATTTTCAAACAATTACAATATCTAAGGTGTTGTTTGATTTAAAACTAGTTATCTCCGCATAAACTCTGGGGTTAGTTATACTGGGATAACTTGTCCCACCATGTATATGGAATAATTATAAATTGTGGATAAGTTATTCCAAACATGTCAATCAAACAAGACATCTAAATTTTATTTAAAATAAGTTAAAAGTGTCTTACAAGTTTTCAATTAAAAAAATAGGACAGGTAGGCCCTTATATTATTCTATTTTTTTTATTTTTAATATTAATAAAAGGACTAAACTAATAATATCTCGTAGTTGTGTGGACAACTACTGAAGTTACTTCGACAACTATTGAAGTTGTTGAACGACTAAAGAAGTTGTCTCGACAAGTATAATAGTTGTCGGACGACTAAAGAAGTTGTTCCGATAACTATGACAATTGTTGAATTAAAGTGTAAAAGTTAAAAGTTTGAGATTATTGTGAAAACATATATATATATATATATATATATATATATTAACTTGAAGAACTCCTACTTAATTGACAAATACTTATCCCTCACACCAAACGAGCGATTAGTGTAGGAATTACCAGTCAGGAATTGATGATATTTTTCCTGAAAAAACGATTGAGTAGCTGTAAATCTTTTTTAAACAATGGTATATATTAGTGTGATTCGACCCTCAATCTGTTGGAAAACATAATAGGTATCGAATCAAATTTCAAACAAGTATACTAAACTGTATAAGCATTGTTACTTGATTAAAGCAGCCCCGGCGTTTAATTTAACAAAGAAGTGAAGAATTCCATTGTGACTCCATCGATTTCTCCGATTTCGATTGCTCTGTTAGCAATACCCTTTCATAATTGAGCTTCAATTTCCTTTGTATTGAATGTGCTAGCATATACTACTAGTTGGTTCTTTGTTTTGGCTGCTGGGCGTTTCTTGAGTAAATTAACTTAATGACATATTAAAAATTACATATTACTAGTCATTAACTGAATGTCAAATTAAAAATTAATTATTATGAGTAATTTCCCTAGATAGCCACTCATTTTTAAAAAATTACATAGGAAAAAGTACATTATTTCTTTCATATTATGATGTCATGTCACATTATTTATTTTTATAACTAACTAGTAATGGACAGTTTTAACTATTTTTTAAAACTAAGTTTTTTTAATTTTTTAATGACAATTATTATTTTTACTATAAGTTTTTTAATTAATATTTTAAATAATAATTATAATTTTTTATGGTGCACTTTTCTTTTGATAGATATTTCTACATTCCATTTTGTTGGAGCATTCCCTAAAATCACTAAAAGTGTGCTAAATATAAATAGACATTATAATTTTATTTATAAAATAATTCAATTTTGAATTTTGAATTTTTAACCTTATAAATTGAAATTTGAAGCATTTAAAGATCTTTCAATTTTTTTCCTGTAATAGCCATTACTGTTTTTATTAAAAAAAATTTTTAGTTCAATTTCATGTTTTTCTTTAAAATTAAAATTAGAGGCATTTTAAAATCATCCATTTTTTGCTGTTATATTTTTTTTAACAAAAAAACTTTTATTTTCTATTTAAAATAGCTATATTAAAATTCATGCTTTTTTTAATTGCATTTTTAGAGCATATTTAAAATGTTTTTTGAAAACTTAAAATTCTTGAATATTTGTGGTGTTGACATGTGACACTTTTTACTTCTCCTATTATATATATATATATAAAAAAAAATAGACAAACCCACATATCATACACAGTAAAAAAATTACATTAAGTACTGTAACTCTTCCGGCTTTTCAAGAAAATATGTGAATTCCTCTAATTCTTTAGAAGAATTAGAAAAATATTAATAATAAGTTAAAAATGTGACATGACACCTAGTAAAAGAGAAATAATATATTTTTTTGTGTCAAATATATTTTAAAATAAATAGATAAAATTAAATGATATTCTAGTCCTAACACAAACATAAGTGGTACAAACTGTCTATGAAATTACTCCAAATAGTCCTAACACTTTCTAGTTTTCCACGTAGAATTCTAACCTTATCTAACAAATTATTAAAATCTTTGTATTTAAAAAAATATGAATTAAATAAATAATAGTAGGAGATATTTGTTCCATTATTAAGAGAAAATCCCTCAAATATCTCTCATTCCATTTAAATTTCTTAATTATTGTTTAATTGATTGTTATCACAATTATCAGTACTCTCTCTCTGTGCTTTCCATTTTTTTTTGGCTATCTTCACCATTTTTATTATTGTTAATTTAATAATAAAAAAATGAATCGTCATCAATATTGATTCAAGACAGAGAATGATAATATTACAGGTTTGTTTTTATGCCTTTTTTATTTTTATTTTTTGTGTCGATTTAGATTTTGTAACAGTAGTGTGATTACTTTGGATACAATAGGTTCGTTTATCTTGTTTTAAGAGTTAATTCTTTGATAAATTATTTTTGTTGAATCTTTTTTCTTTATTTTTATATGCTTTTTGTTAATTTCTTGTTTTTTTTTGTGACTGTCTTTTTTCATTATTAGCAATATTAAATTTTTTTAGAGGGTTCTGATTATTTTATCGAAAAAGGGTCAAAAATATCTTTGAACTATTCGAAATAGCTCAAATATACCCTTGAACTATATTTCAGCTCAAATATACCCTTCCCCTCAAATTATAGGGTCCACAATACTCTTCTCATTAAAAGGAACCGTTAAACACCACTTGAATACCATGTGGATATCACATGGCATGCCACACAAGCCAAAATAGTTCCACTCATATCACGTAGAAAATAAACTTACCCCTATTTTCTCCCAATTTTCTCTATTTCTCTTAGTATTTAGAAACGATTTTGTTAAAAGTAGTTGTCCATTAGTTAGTTGGTTACATAACTAACTATTCAAAAGTTTTAAAGTTTGTTAGTAGTTAGTTAGGCCTATTATTGTAATTTCACTTTATAGTTTGTTACCTCGTTTAATGTGCTGAATTAGTTAGTTAGTTAGTGATATTTTTGCTGCTTTGTTACAGCCTCTGATTGCTATATAAGCAATGCAGAGCATCACTCGTTTGGCATGATAAATCAATACAACATTTCCCTTTTTTTTCTCTTCTTCATTTTGCAGCTTCCTCAAGATTCTTCAATGGAGTGAAGAACTTGAAAGCCTACTGTTTTTGTTCATGGTATCAGAGCAGTGTGATCTGTAGAATTAGTGAAGTTTAAATCTCTATCCATTGTGAGAATCTGTAGCTTGAGATCTGCAGACATGGTGGGAATGAAGATAGATCAGAATGATCCATTATATATTGGAAATTCTGATAGTTCAAGTGTTGTGTTGATTCCAATCAAACTAATTGGATCTGAAAATTATGGAGTTTAGAGTAGGGCAATGAGGATTGCATTAATAGGGAAGAGGAAGTATGGTTTTGTAACTGGTGCCTGCACTAGAGCTTTATACAAAGATGAATTGCATGAGCAATGGGAAACTTGCAATGCAATTGTGTTGTCTTGGCTGATGAACACAGTCAGTGAAGAGCTCCTTAGTGGTATTGTATATGCCACAAATTCTTTCTCAGTATGGAATGATCTAAAGGAAAGATTTGACAAGGTGAATAGAGTAAGGATCTATCAATTACATAGAGATATCACCACTCTTTCACAAGGAACAGATACTGTATTTCATTACTTCTCAAAGTTAAAAACATTATGGAATGAGTATGATGCTATAGTTCCAAATCCATGTAGTACTTGTTCTCAATCGATGGAGTACAATGATCATTTAGAGCAGATGAGATTGATTCAATTCTTAAGTGGCGTGAATGAGCCATATGATCAGGCTAGGAGACAGATACTACTTAAAGGAACTACACCATCTATGAATCAAGCTTATGCTATGATTATAGAGGATGAGATTCAACACTCAAGTTATATGGATAATGCAGTCGAAAAATCAAGTTCAATGGTGATGAGTGTTAACAGGAATCAAGGAGTAGGAAAGGAACACTACAAAGGGAAGAAATGTGATTATTGTCATTTTTCTGGTCACACAAAGGATAATTGCTACAAGCTGATTGGCTATCCAAGTGACTGGAAACAAAGGAAGAAACCAGGTTATGGAAATGGGAATGGAAACATGAGAAATGGTACAGGCACAAGTCAATTCAATGGAGGACAAAGTTCAGGAAATAATGGTGGATATGGAAGAGGATATCAGTCTGCAAATAATATCTCTAATGATCATTGTGATCATTCTAATACTGTATCAACTAATCAGGTGGAAAATAATAACTTGTTAAAGGTGCCAAAGGGACAAACATTCACTGAGAAGGAGTACAAACAAATAATGGAGATGCTAAACAGAGATGTACATGAAACAAAACAAGTCAATATGACAGGTATTACAACTTGCTTAATGACAAATCCTATTATTCAAGATTGGATTGTTGATTCAGGTGCAACTCATCATATCATTGCAAATAAACAGTTACTGACTAGGATACATGAATTAACAAAGTCACAAATAAATCAAGTTCATCTTCCAACAGGTGACAAGGTTACAGTCAGTCATATTGGTGAAACACCTATATTTGATAGTGAAGTGGCCAGAAGTGTCTTGCATGTGCCAGATTTCAAGTTCAGTTTATTATCAGTATCAAATATTACAAGAAAACTAAATTGTTTTGTATCCTTTTATCCTGACTTTTGTGTGTTTCAGGACCTCTGCAGTGGCAGGGTGAAGGGGATTGGTAAAGAAGAAGGAGGATTGTACAGTTTTAAGGCTAACTTTTCATCTAAACAGAAGGAAGAAATAAGGTGTACACAAGAAATAGTAGCTGCAGGAGCTGCAATACAAGACACAGATATATGGCACAGAAGGTTAGGACATCCATCTCAACAAGTATTGAGATATCTCAAGTTAGATACAAGCAGTAAAGGTGATGGAGTATCAACTCATTGTCCTGTTTGTCCTTTAGCCAAGCAAACTAGACTTACTTTCCCTATTAGTACTACTAGAGCATCAATAATGTTTGATGTTGTTCATATGGATCTATGGGGACCTTACAAGACCCCTACTCTAGATAGAAAGTACTACTTCTTAACAATAGTATATGACTATAGTAGATTTGTATGGGTTCATTTGTTGCAGTTAAAATCTGAAACCATTGTGGCTATCAAAAATTTCTTCTCAATGATCAATACTCAGTTCAATTCTCATGTCAAAATTGTGAGATCAGACAATGGCACAGAATTCCTTAATTCACAATGTAGAGAGTTATTCAATCATCTGGGAATATTACATCAGAGTAGTTTTCCTCACACACCATAACAAAATGGTGTCGTTGAAAGAAAGCACAGACTCATTCTTAATATTGCAAGAGCAATCAGATTTCAAGATCATCTACCTATCGGATTTTGGGGTTACTACATTAAGGCTGCTGTGTATTTGATGAATAGATTACCTTCATCAGCCAACTCCAACAAAAGTTCCTATGAGTTACTTCATTGTAAACAACCTGGTTTGTCTCATCTAAGGGTTATAGGTTTTCTTTGCTATGCTACAATAATTCCTAAGAGGGATAAATCTTCAGCAAGAGCTAGTGCAGCTATTCTCTTAGGGCATTCAGAATTACAGAAAGGCTACATATTGTTGGATATCCATTCTACTAAGGTGTATGTGAATAGAGATGTGATATTTCATGAAGAAGTATTTCCATTTGCTAAAGTGATGCCTCAACTTGATCCCTTAGTTGTTGTACATGGTTCTCCTTTAGAGAACACAGAAAGTCAAGCTGTTGAAGCTGAGAATGATAATGAAGATAATAGGAAGCTTGCAGACACTGGTACAGTTAATGAAGACAGTCAGAATGATGAGATTGAGAATGCTTCAGTAGATCAGATGTCTATACCTAGTTTAACAGAGGAAGTTACAGAAAATACTCATGCAGTACCATCACATGTTGAGTCCAATATTAGAAGATCTTCAAGAAGCATCAAGGAGCCAATGTGGATGAAAGATTATACCATTACTAAAAGACATAGTAGCACCAAACATCCTATGGCTAGTTATCTGAATTATGAAAAGTTAAAGACTGAGTGCAGAAGTTTTTTGAGTAAACTTTCAGAGTATGTAGAAGCTACGAATTTCAGTTAAGCTTCACAAGATGAAAGGTGGATACAAGCTATGCAGCAGGAAATCAAAGCTCTTGAAGAAAATAATACATGGCAAATAGTTGAGCTACCAGAAGGCATGCATGCAGTTGGTTCCAAGTGGATATATAAAGTAAAATATAAGGCAAATGGCAAGATAGAAAGGTTTAAAGCAAGACTTGTAGCAAAGGGATACAGTCAGCAAGAAGGATTGGATTATCATGACACTTTTTCTCTAGTAGCCAAAATGGTAACAGCCAGATGTGTCATTGCATTAGCAGTATCAAAAGGCTGGACATTGTACCAGATGGATGTCTATAATGCCTTCTTACAGGGTGATTTAGATGAAGAGGTCTATATGAAAATGCCTGAAGGCTTTGCAAAACCAGGTGAAAACAAAGTCTGCAAGTTGTTGAAGTCTTTGTATGGACGTAAACAAGCCTCAAGACAGTGGAACCTGAAACTTACAAAAGTATTACAAGCCACAGGTTTTAGTCAGAGTGCTCATGACTACTCACTGTTCACACTAAAAAAGGGGGAAGATCTTGTCATTGTTCTGGTTTATGTAGATGATCTATTGATCACAAGAAGTAACACACAACTAATTACTGAAGTTAAAGCATGTTTGCACAAACAGTTCAAACTGAAGGATCTAGGTGAACTTAAATTTTTCTTAGGCATTGAAGTGTTAAGGTCCTCTGGAGGAATTATTTTGAATCAAAGGAAATATATATTGGAACTTATTGCTGAGGCTGGATTAAGAGGTGCCAAACCTGCATCCACACCAATGGAGTCCAATTTGAGATTGACTTCAGTAGAGCATGATCAAGCAAATGGCTATAGTGCAGATACTGTACTGCATGACATTACTTCATATCAAAGATTGGTTGGTAAATTGTTATATGCTACTATCACCAGGCCAGATATAAGTTATGCAGTACAAACCTTGAGTCAGTTCATGCAATCTCCCAAGAAATCACATATGGAAGCAACCACTAGAGTGATTAGATACTTGAAAGGTTCAGTGGGCCAAGGTATTTTGTTACATTCTGAACCTACTAACACAATTACTTGTTGGTGTGATTCTGATTGGGCAGCCTATCCCAACACTAGAAGATCCATCACAGGATATGTCATTTAGTTTGGAGAGTCCTTAGTTTCTTGGAAATCAAAGAAACAACAAACTGTTTCAAGAAGTTCAGCTGAAGCTGAGTACAGAAGTATGGCATCAGCAGTTTTGGAAATCACTTGGCTTTTAGGATTGTTCAAGGAATTGGGAGTGGATGTTCAGCTGCCTATTACCATTCTTAGTGACAGTAAATCAGCTATACAACTAGCAGCTAATCCAGTGTTACATGAGAGGACAAAACACATTGAGATAGATTGCCATTTTATCCGGGATAAGATCAAAGCAGGAGAAGTTGACACTGCTTATGTACACACACAACAACAGCTCGCAGACATATTGACAAAAGGGCTAAGTCAAGTTCAGCATGTGCATCTTCTAGGCAAGCTTGGAGTGATCAATGTTATGCACTCATCAGCTTGAGGGGGTGTGTTAAAAGTAGTTGTCCATTACTTAGTTGGTTACATAACTAACTATTCAAAAGTTAGTTAGCAGTTAAAGTTTGTTAGTAGTTAGTTAGGCCTATTATTGTAATTTCACTTTATAGTTTGTTACCTCGTTTAATGTGCTGAATTAGTTAGTTAGTTAGTGATATTTTTGCTGCTTTGTTACACCCTCTGATTGCTATATAAGCAATGCAGAGCATCACTCGTTTGTCATGATAAATCAATACAACATTTCCCTTTTTTTTCTCTTCTTCATTTTGCAGCTTCCTCAAGGTTCTTCAATGGAGTGAAGAACTTGGAAGCCTACTGTTTTTGTTCAGATTTCACTGAAGAACATAGAACCCCTTTTGCCTTAGAACTTGTGTATTTTGTGAAATCGTTCTAAGGAAATGGAGATATGAGGAAAAGAGGTTCTATGTTCATCAGTGAAATCATTTCTAAATTCTACGAAAAATGAAGAAAATTGCGAAAATTAGGGGTAAGTGTATTAGTCTACGTGGCATGAGTGGAAATCTATTGGCTTATGTGCATGCCATGAGACATCCACATGACATTCAAGTGGCGTTTAACCGATTATGTTAATGAGAAGGGTATTCTTTACCCTATAGTTTGACGGTAAAGGTATATTTGAGCTGAAATATACTTCAAGGATATATGTGAGTTATTTCTGATAGTTCAAGGGTACTTTTGACCCTTTTCCGTTATTTTATTTGTATCTCTTACTATATCAATTTTGATTTTGTTGTAATAAAGTGACTATTGAAATTGGATATATACTAATTACTACATATTCATTTTTCTCATTTTGATTTCTTTCTTTTAGCTGTGTTGGTGCAGTTACGTGTTAAATTCTTCATCTTTTGTAATAAATTATGATGATTTTTGTATGAAATTTGTTTGTAAGAGGTATATTTAAAAACTTATTTCATACAAATAATAACGAAAATAAATTGTATAAATAGTGATTTGAATAATGATTTAAACAGTGTTTTGTATTTAAGAATTGTGGTTTGGTCTAATACATCTTGCAATTATACAAGTGTATTAAAATTGATCCATAATAAATTTCTGATTGTTCAAAATGTGTAAACTTGAGGATCTTAGGAAAATTGTATGCATTATGATTTTAAAGATGGTATATAAATATTTTTGTTGGTTTTTGCATATTTCATCATCATGACATTAAAAAAGAATATTGTTCCCAGGTAGATATATTGATCACATGTAGTTGAAAGGACACAATTGAAAGATATGTGATTGATATCCACCTGATCATCGTCTATAACCATATTTTTGTGATTTGTTGGTTTATTTCTTTGTTATAAATAAGTAAAGTATTTTTTGATTTTTAATTTAATAGATTATGTTTATATAGTTTTCTTAATTATTAGTTTCAGTTTGTATACTTGTCGCTTCCACATTTAAAAATTATGGAGTATGAGTTGAGTTGCATAAATACACATAGTGTACTAGTGAGAATACGAATTTTCAGATCATTTTGTATATACTAATTGATTTATAATCTGATTTTTTATTGTTCAAATATTTTGAACTTATCTATTGTATCGATTTTGTACGAGTAAATTATAGGTTTAACAAATATAAAAAATATATTTGTATGTTATAGCTATAGTTTGTATAATTGCGCTTCATAGTAAATTTTATGTTTGTTATGGAGCATCACATCCGTATAAAAATCACATACAACTTTGATTTGTATAAAATCGCAGGCATCTGATTTATATAATCGCAACGATTTCTATAAATCGGACGTCTATGTCTATGAAAATTGTGTTTGTATTTGTAGTTGCTCTTCATGTTTATATATCTGTATAAAACTTGAATGTATACAATTGAATTGAAAGAAAACATTTGTATATTAAATCTCTCTTAAAACAACACAAAATATACATAATTTGTATAATTTGTGTTTGTATAAAATGAAAAAGAGAGAAAGACAAAAGAGAAATGGTAGCGAAAGATCTATTTTAGTATAATTATACGTGTATAGGACGAATATATATATATAGAGATATACAAAAAAAGTATTCTCTCGCTTTATATAAACAAAAACACGATTTATATATTTGTGTTTTTATAAAGTGAGAGAGGCGAAGGAGAGTAACGAGCGAAATTTATGGGGAAGGAAGTGATGACAAAGTGTTTGTTATAAATTAAAATTTAATGAAATTGTGATTATAACAATTTAATTTGAATTAATAATTAATTATTTTACATAATTTTCGCTAATTAGAATTTGTAACAGATTATACGTAGATATCGCATTCAATATTAATCCTAGCAACATTAAAGACCACAAAATTTCGTTAATCCCTATACTTATAATTATATATTTGACCCATGTTTTTTTGCTCAAAGATAGATATGACTATAAAAGTGTACTATAGCAAAAGAGAAAAAATAGAAATAAGAAAATCAAAATA